TTGCAAAGCTGCAACTGGTATTGATCTGGTCTATTTGTTCCTTTTTTAAAACCTTTTCTAAATGAAACCTCGCCGAAACTTTATTAAATGGTCTACCTTTAAACCAATAAAGTTTAGAATATCCAATCTATATCTGTAGACTCAATATGAGAATTAAACTGGGATAAGCCTTAAACGAGTCGTGTAATGTTAGTAAGTGCAGTTTGGAATAGATCCAGGACAAAATAAGCTTTTCAGGGACGGCAAAATGTAAATCACGATGAATGCATGTTTATGTATATTATAAGACATTGAAAAAATATTAATTGAATTTTGAAATTTTTATTGGTCAATCAATTGAGAATATAAACTGGAATGATGGCTGAAAGTAGTGTATTTGTTTTAGTTGTACATCTATCATAAATTGTTTGTGATGTCATAAGTTCAATAAATGATTAAGTATTGTTTGATAGAATTAACTAGATGTGTATGTGGCAAGATCTTAAAGAAAAATCTTCGGAAGAGGACATCAAGTCACATAAATGGTCAGTCCATCAATCAGTAGAAATTGGCTGTGAATAGACGAAATATGTTACTTCTTTAGCCCAAGCATACTCAAAAAACTTTGGCAGCTAGATTACTTTTTTTTTATTTTTCTCACTGCCAGTAATATATATCAGTATAATATTCTTTTTCTGGCACAAAATCATAAAGTGCGTACATGATTCACATTGAGTTATAATCATATTTGTTAATATTATAATAACAAGCAACAATATACTAATATGTGGTCTCAAATAACCTGCCAGTAAAGTTCCATCGTTGGCACAACCTTACTCAAGATGATCGATCCTTAATTCGATTAACTATCTTCGCTTAAACTTTCCTAATTACTCGCAACTTGACACTTCTAGATTAATTGCAATATCAGATAACTAATAATCAAGAGCTTTATTGATAATTACAATTATCCGCTAGCTCGTAATTGATATTAATTAAATATTTTCACTTGAAACAAATATGTATTTTTATTTACATAAAAAAAGAAGAATAGTATATGCAAATATTACAAATATTATGAGAAGAAAACGTTTGATAGGTTTAAAAATAACGTGGGTTTTTTCGTGGGGAATATCCATAAAATGTATGGTTTTCATAAATAATCCTTAGGAATTTCTTTGCAAATGCCATCACTACCAACGGCGAACACTATAGGTTGAGGACCTCTATGAATGGCGTGAATACTATGATGCGTCTCCCCATCTTTACATTCAATTGGATTTCTAGAACGGTACTAAAAGTTATCAGTGAGGAGGTGGGGATAGCCACCGAGGTTGTGGGATTTAGAGAGACTTCATACTTAATTTGGAGAATTTTTACACATCATACGTCTATGCTTATACTCTACAGATTAAACATTACAATGTTGTTTTCCCCACAATATCAATTAATTCTATCAATCAAATAAAGTTCCTCATATATTTCACGGCTTTTCTTTTATGTTGATAAAGAAAGCTTAATCTATAAGAAAATGTTCAAAAGTAAACATGTTCATACCTTAATATTAATTTGAAATAAAAGTTTCGACTTTAAATAAATATAGTAAATTAGTAGAATTATTGAAAAGAGGTAAATCTTTTTCTATTACGCAGCTTTTTTCTATTTACAAAGTTAAATTGAAATACTATTTTATTATACGTAAACTCTAAAGAATTATATAAATAATATTGATAGAAAATTTTACATTTCAATGTTTTTTAGACTGAATGTTGATTTCAAAAAATATTTCTTAAATAAAGAAGTAAAGAAGTTTTTTCTTTGATATTTTAATATTATTATTCGAAATGGATCACAATGTAATATATTTTTATAATATATTATTACGCATTCTAAAATAGGTATTATTTACACATACCTTCATAACTTTTCAAATTCTTGTATGTTTATATCGCATAAGATGAAAAGTATTATTAAAATTATAAAATCGGACTTGATACTTAATTGGTTTATCTAATAAAAAAGTTCTAACCAAAACCGTAAATAAATGGAAAAGGGTGAAGCTTGGCTTAGATGCTGGAACTCGAGTTCCAGTACATTCGAATGTATAAAACCTAAAACTATTTTTGAAGGATCTCAAATACATTATTACTTAATACACCTACATATTTAAAGTACCTCGTATATTAAATACGGATTCCAAAAATAAGGACACGATATTACTTTTATAAAGTTTTTATAATATAAGTAAAATTAATATTAAAACATACTTTTAGCTATACATATATGATAAGAATTGTCTAACATTCTATATTATGAAATAATAATTCAAAAAATCAGTATAGATTTTTATATCCACTAAAATTTTGCAAAATATTAGGCAAATATGTATATTCTTTAAAAATCTAAGGATGTTAAAAACATTCGCAACTGCTACAAGAATCAAAATTTACTACTTAAAAAGTCGTTCCATTTTCATTTGAAACCCTAATGGAAAATATTTCTTTATTGAATCACACTTATCTTGATATAAATATCTTTATGTTTTCGATTTTTAATTTAAACATCTTAATACAAAGTATTATTTGTGTTATAATAATAGCAAAAACGTAATGTAAATGTTGGTCTAATATTGATTCTTGTTTGTAAAAGCTGGTAGAATGTCCACAATTCCCGTCGACCCAATAAGATTACAGTCCCAACCTACAAGTTTTTCGAGAAAGCCTACCCATGTAATCCGATTTCGGTAGCGATTCGCTTGTTTTCATATTCTCAACACAAATTTGTAGTTTCCTAGAACTTTGTATGGCATAAGTTTTAACGATATCTTTATATTATATTTGATATTTATTTAATACGACTTCGGTCTGTGCAATGCCGCTTTAATTGATCCTCTTAGAAAAGTCTTTCTTAAATTATGATCAATTGAAGTAAAAGTATGATTTGATATTTTTATTTGAATCATGAGACAGTGTGTTCAAATAACGAAGGTCCAGTTTTTAATTTAAATTATGTTCGTTTCATACAAAATAGAATGGAAACTAACTTGGATATCAATAAAAATAGGGTCCGTTCAAAGTATATTCTCTGGTATCTATAAAACAAATGTCCTTCAATTCTTCAGTTAATTACAAACATATGTTAACGATTACGTTAATTAATGATCAGTCTTCTATGTATACTGAAATAGACCACAAATTTTAATATGTTCATAATTGCGTAATTACATTTAATCGAATTGGACATTATTACGTATAAACGTCCATGAGACTATCTGTATATACTAATATCATATCAGCGATTCAATATAGATTATCAATTGATGCTATAATTACTTTCAAGTATAATTGGTAATACAAGAAGCATTGCTTATAGCGACAATGCTTCGTAACAACAATTTCTAAGTAGTGTGGTAACAAACGGAATTGTTATGCCTTTGAACATACCTTTTATATGATTGAATTTTGAGTATCTATTAAGAAAGAAAAATAAATGTAATTGTCTAATAAAGTATATTTGTTAATTATTTAATTGATGAGTATTCCTTTGTGAGTATATCTAAATAATATTTGAGGAAATATTAAAAATATAAGCTGTGATTGTACAATTCTCATTTAATTTCATATCTGAAATGGGTTCGCGAACTTGTCACAACCGTATTTATTTTAGTTTCCTGCTGCGCCGCCATGTGTAACGAACGAGATTAAAATGACAATTCGTTAAAATTTAGTATCCAAAAGCGCTATAAATATACATTCCATGGTGCGCAAATTCGGCACCCGATAAGGGCGATTTTTGCTTGCGCAAACGTCACACGTTATCATAATTTATTATGCAGGCTCGTGCCTCCTCACTCTACACGGTACATGGGAAAATAATTTTTATTTATATGTTAAATTTTCACTACCATTAGATGATGTATATTTGTAGATATTCTTTGCAACCTTAAATTATTATTGGCTTTATTTGTTTAATCATTTCCATTCATTACCTTTCTTATAATTAACTTTAACACTCTTTTAATTATGTTAACAATTATAAATGAAATTTACTAATGTATTCAATATACAACAGATTATGTTATGAATGAAAACATGCACGATCGTACCTGAATATAGTTTCAGAAACTTGAATTCATGTGAACTACAGAGAGAGTGCAAAATCAACTTGCCAACTACGGATTTCCGTACGTGTAGAGCCGCAGGCTGGTTCTTAGTGGAGGTAAACTTTACAAAGTTTTATATCTACTACTGCATTTATAGATGATATAATGTTGCCATTTTATTATTGAACTCAAATATTGTGGAATTTAAATTACTATTTAGAATTTTATCGCTTTTAGGATTCATGTTTATTGTAAATTAAAGCTTATATATTGGTTACATATATTGAGAAAATTCGTCATATTTTTTAAAATATGTCAATAGTTTTCATATAACTAAAAGATCATATATAAAGCCAACCATGGACTATCTTTAAACTAAGGTTTGCCAACGTCCATTATCTTTGATAACTTTGTTTTCTCATATAAATAAAATACATTAAAGTATGTTAATAAATTAAAACATAAAAGAATAAAAAAGAGTTAGATAATGGTCGTTAAAAAACCGTTACATTAGAACTTCAAAACATCCATTTGGCGATGAATAAGATTTTATGTTGATATATTAAGTTTGAAGTCCGCGGCTCTTGATAAATAGAGGCTTCGTGGGAATATTTATGGCTGACTTCAAGACGTCGAGAAAGAATGGAGGATGGGTACACGACATTATGAGCATTTACTTGAAGAATCTTACGACATTTTATTTTGTAAATAATATTCATCACTGAAGTGATTTAATATATATTATGAGAATGAGAATCTTTTAGAAAATTCTGAAGTATTATATAAAGTTAAAAAAGTCTGATTGCTATAAGCAAATATAATCCATACAGTTCCCTAAAAATAACCTTGAAAATATCTTTTCAAGCTGATATTTCTGGAATGAAATGTGTTGTACCAACATTATTGTTTTATCACTTACCTAAATGATAACGTTGTCAAGGGGCGATATGATTTATGGCTATTGGGATCAACCATCGCGGTGCCCCAGAAGTCGTTCAAAAACAACTCTCTAATACTGCTCCTTCCTAGTACGTCACCGTTCGTCACTATAGCCGGTATATCATCGTGAACGAAGTCACCATTCAAACTGTTAACATAACTTAAAACTGCCGTTGATATCACCATCGTATAAATAGCAAGATCACTGTTACAAATACTCTTAGGACTTCTCTTCTCTTCTTTCACAATTGCCAGTCTTCGTTTCATTTTCGGACTAGTTCTTGGTGACTTTAATGTCACATTCCTACATTTGCACATGGAGATAGTGAAGACGGACAATCTGTAACAATGAAATAAATTGTCATATATACATATTTATATATTTTTATAGCTATATGTTATGAAATAAGCTATTAAGAAAACAAACAGTAAACATTATTATAGTACGCTATATTTATAGTTCAGTAAACTATAATTATTGTAGGTTTCATTATTATTATTATGTCAAATGTCAGTACACCACCAAGAAACTATTTTTATCGACAACTAAAAATAATAATACATAAGTGGGATATTTTATCATGCTATGTTCTGTTCCAACAATCATTTTATGCACGAATTGCGAAGCACACTATTGAGCGTCTATCAACAAGCCATAAAATAGAAAAATTACCATGTCTCGGTTGATGCGAGTACATGGCAAGCCATCGACGAACTTCCATCGTACCATTAATCAAACATGCTTGATACGTTTTTGAAAAAGTCTTGCTTAAAATATAAACGGGGATCCAATGATCATTAATACTGCAACATGATATTTCACATTCTGCATAAGATAAATTAACCATAATAATTTTTATATTTCAATCCTATTTTTTAAATAAACTTTAATTATGCTTCGAAAAAATTGAAATCGTATAAAAATTTTGATAATTCGTTACCATTTGTGACATACAAAAATACTGAAAGCATTTTATCATACCCGAAGTCATGAAAAGACTGACTTTTACATTTATTTTCATTAAAATGTCAAAAAAACTTAAAAATGTTTTTTATAACTGGGATGCTTCAAGATTCAACAATAGAACCTCTGTCATATTTCAAAATGTCGTATATAAAAGAGCAAAACCTAATTTTTGTTTAATACTCTCCAACTTTCTTCCCAAATATATTTAGATCACGTTTTCGCCCACGAAATTCATAACGCCCGATATTGCTGAGTATATTGAAAAATAGTTATTTAGATTAGAGGTCCGCCCGAATGGGATTAATCGGCTATATTTTATAGCATGTGCTAACACGGCTTCGGTTTTAGCATGAAATATTGCCGGCGGTTTATTACGATGGTTTAAATTACCAAATATTGCAGCGATGATTAAATTCACAATTAGATTAAAGTCATTTCCCATAGTTGGATATCATTGTTTTGAAAATACGCATACAATACTCAAGGTAACAAAACCATGACGATACGAAGGTTTTGATGTATTGTAACATATAAAACAGTTAAGATTCATAACAAAACCTCCCTTTTATATACGAGTATATTCAACACATACGAACACATGTAAAAAACAAAACAATAATACATCAGCTTGAGGTAAAAGAGTATTGTAAGCCAATTTACACGCTTTTCTCTTTCAATTAATACGTAAATTGGAGTGGAGTGTATTTCAGGTGACTGTGCAATTTCATATTTTATAAAACGCTTTTCCACCACACATTTTTCTGAACTCCTATTAATCTATATGAAGCGTTGCGAAGTTTGTAATACATTTAGTTTCTTTATCTTACAAAGGAAAAGAAATAAAAAAGTGGTCGTTGCAATTGTACTCGTATTGGCTAGTTTAAATGCTATCGTGTTTATAAGCGTAATAATCAGTGCAGGTTAATTTACAGGTTGGTTTGTTGTATTTATATCACGTAGTTATACTCTACCGTGTTTATTACAAACATAAAATTAATAAACGACTCGCTTGATGGAGCCCGTTCATAATTTTATGCTGAATATTCGCAAATTATACATTTTCATGACGATAGCATTATTTGACAGATATTTTGGTTACGACCTAAATAATGTATGATAATTTATATTCCTATAAACAATGTTTATTTTTATTTACTGTTCTATGTAACGGTATAACTGTAGCAGAGCTACTTAGACTAAGTTCATATTTTTTATTAAATTATATGATTAAATTAATATGGATCGTGTTTTAATGTTATAAGCATTTAAATTATAATTTCGGTTACCTATAAAATTTTAAGATTTGATTAAGTGGGAATAATTTGAAGTTATAGATTCCCAGGTACGGGTAAAATAATTTCTTATAATTATCACCGACATATTTTTTTTATATCAATATAAAATTTTATTAATATATCATAAGAATATCATTTGCTTTCGTGCAATTGAATACCCTGTAAGAAAATTAAATTTGTTAGAATTAAATGTTTGTTTTCATATATTTACTAATTAAATGTAATATTTTAAATATAAATAAATATAAACTTCTTAAGACACATTTGGCTTCCAATTAGTTTTAAAGTTAAGAAAAAATAAATTATGATTTAAAAATCGATATCTAAAGTCTTAAATTAAAATTATTGCTTTAAAAGAAAATAAATATGTACGTATTCGTGCAAAAACTACACACACATGTATGTCACAAATTATTTACCATTTAATATAACAGCAAAAAAACATAGCACGATCACATTTATAAATGTACACAAACATTCAACGTTATAATTTTCTACTAAAACATTTAATTAATTTCGTGGTCGGCTGTCATGCGTGCACATTTGATACATGTTCAGGTTAGCTCGTTACAAAGTTACTTTGTTACAAAACAAAAGTAATGCTATTAAATATTAAATTTGGAATAATAAAAAATGTATAAGATAATTCTTAAATTACTTTCAAAATAAAAGACTAGATAAAATGCAAATATCTGAATCCAATAATAAAAATATATGGTTTAGTTTGTCCAGGAGCAACAATGACCTGTCACTGGCGATCGTTGCATTCAAATATGAAAGTACCTTATAAATCTTTTCAATTACTAACGAGATAGTATTTCCATCGATTCATGTCTGTAAAACGTTTTGTTTTTCTTTCACTGTCGCTACTTTGTATAATGACTGTTTATTTTTGTTTTAATAAGAAAGCTATTATATATATATATTTATCTCTTAGTTTAAAGTTACTGAATCCCACTTGTTTATTTTAAACACTTGTAATACGTATATCTTAATTATTTTCTCTGTAAATAAAACTGTTTCAGGTGTATTATTGTGCTTTATTATATGAAATAAACATTTCGTCTTCTTAAATACTATGTACATTCCTATATTGTCATGATAAAGATGGAAATACATTTGTCCTACTTAAACATTCCATCGCTACATTAATTTTTATGCTTATTATGCTTTTAAAATTATTATGAATATGTTTGTAATTTTAATCAAAACACAGCCTGGTTGTAACCACCTCAAACATAAACATATTGAAAATTCTTTATGGCATTTCAAACTGTTAGAATTAATCATCATTTTAAATGTCACAGGCAGACACAGACAAAGGCGGGGATCAACGGAATTGCAAATAGTTACAATTGAATTTTCCGTCACTAATCCAATTATTCATTATCGTTACAACTTGCTGGTGTAACAATAGGGGCTCTAACTTTGTTTCTCACGATACTAATTGATTAGTTTTGATGTTCATTATTAAATTCTCTATTGGTACAATATCCATTTATAAAGATTATTATTATATATAATGTACCTACATACATTACTTTAATTCATGTGCCTATCAGAGCCCACTGCTGAGCAAAGGCCTCTTCTCACATGGAGAAAATTTGAGCATTAATCACCACTCTTGCTCAAGACGGGTATATGATTTCAAACTTATAATTGTGAAATTATAAGTCCAGTTTTCCTCAAAATGTTTTCCTTCAGCGGTTGTCAGGTGAGCCTAAATAATCTTAAAAGATACATATAAACTCTAAAAAATCACATTGGTACTTGCCAGGTTTCGAACTCATGCACAAGAGGCGGGCGTTTTAGCTTCTAGACCACCACTGACCTATCTTAAATAACAAAGTACTTAAATTTAAATAAGATTTAGAGATATCAATTGACCTATCTTTTTATCATTAATGATGGAGATATATTTGAATATGATCCGAAGTTCTGTTAACATTTATCACAGGCATACGGTGTCTAATCAGTTGGTCCGAGGGACGTAATCCCAGCCTCCATTTCCTTGGACGTTTAGTCGCAAATTGCTGCCGGGTGCGAACGACCGGCTTAAAAGCTAGCAATAGCTGTTCCCAAACCGTAATGGTGCGATTAGGCTTTTTCCTTTTGTTTCAAATGTACAGATTTATGAACAAACTTTTGTTTTAGTTGTATTGGATAGCTTGGAAAGCTTGTTGTTTTGTTTCTAGTGATCGCTTTTCAAATTTATTGAATTTATATGTGTTTTTTTTTATACAAAGAAACCATTATAAATTGAAAATAAGTTTTCTCTTCAGTACTGTCTTTTAACATTTTTGTATACCAACTTTTATTCAAAACTATGGAATTTCTATGGAAATTCAGCATGTGATTTAGGAACAAATTCAAGTTTAAATTTAGAAAAATATTGTATTAAAATTTTCTCGGCAGTTTTGCATGTTTAAATTACGAACAGGTTTATAAAAATACTTTATAATAAAAACAACAATTTATAACAAAAACATATTTCTTAATAAGTAAAATTTATTTCACATTTTAATTTATTAATAAATTAAATACGATGCTTGGAACGTTATAATTGTTAATTAAATCAAGAGTTCTTGTATGCAACGCTTTAAAATTTCCGAATTTTTGTTTCATAAAGCATTTTATACGTACATCACCGATACGGGCTTTAATTAATTATTGTTTCAACCCGTATCCCGTTCCCCTTACTGAAGTCCTATTAAAAATCACGATAAATCCACTTCAGCACAGACCATTCCTCAAACTAGTCATTTAATAAATTCAATCGTTATCTGGTTAGTGTCTCAAACGTCTCCCATCCAGCTTAAAAATTTCTAGCACATTAAACGAAAAATGTTGAGCTATTAAAAGCAGACGCAAACTCTTTGAGAACAGTTCATTTTAACAGCGAACGCTCTGTGTGTAAACTTCCGATGATACTCCCTGACACCCTTTTATAAAACCGTCCAACAAAGGTGAAAGCAAAGAATCATTGCACGTACAACCCTCACAATGACGTAGGCTTATTTAGTCTACTGGTCTAAAGGACCCCATTTTCACGTACG